AAGTGGAACTACAAGAACTGGTACAATGTGAAGTAGTTAAAAAAACAAAATACCTTGGAATTGAATTAACGGCAAAAAATATAGACCTATATAAGAATAATTATGAGAAATTATGGACTAAGCTGACTCAAGATTTTAAGAAATGGGATAAAATGAACTTATCACTGATGGGAAGAATATCAGTTATAAAAATGAATGTCCTACCACGTTTGATGTTCCTGTTCCAAACAATACCAATTCTGCATAAAACGGATTTGTTGGCCAAGTGGCAACAAGAGTTGTCAAAATTTGTTTGGGCAGGCAAGAAACCAAGGATCAAAATGAAAATACTTTGTGATGCCAAAGAAAGAGGAGGTCTACAAATGCCAAATCTTAGACTATATTATGAAGCGGTTTGTCTAACATGGATGGATCAATGGGTGAAGCTTGAAAATGACAGATTGTTGGGGTTGGAAGGGCATGATTGTAGATTTGGCTGGCATGCATATTTATGGTATGACAAGATAAAAATGGACAGTTTTTTTAAACTTCACTTGGTGAGAAAAGCTTTGTATATGGTATGGACAAGATATAAGAAGTACCAGAGTGACTTAAGACCATTGTGGATTGTACCAGTAGAAGTGTTGATATCTTACTCAAGACAGCGAGGTAGAGACTGGTTGCCATATAGAGATTTAATTAAAAAAGAGGGAACAGAGTGGGTAATGAAAAAGCAGAATGAAATTGAATATGAATATGAGTGGTTGAAATATATGCAGATTTATGATCTTTTTAGATCTGACAAAAAAAACTATGGTTTTAGAGAGGAAAAAAATGAAATTGAAAAGGTTTGGGAGAGTGGAGGAGGAAAAAATATTTCTAAAATGTATAAGGTGTTGTTAAAATGGTATACTGAAGATGAAACTGTTAAAGAACAAATGTTAAAATGGGCTATTAATATGAATAAGGAAGTGGCTATGGAAACCTGGGAATATTTGTGGAAAAATTCTATTAAGATCTCGACATGTACTAATGTTAAAGAAAACTGTTATAAGATGATGTATAGGTGGTACATGACACCTAAGAAAATTGCAAATATGAATCAAAATATGTCAAACAAATGTTGGAAATGTAAGAGGCATGAGGGCTCATTTTATCATATGTGGTGGACTTGTGAGAAAGCTGTAGACTTTTGGACAAAAGTCCACAATGAAATGCAAAAAATATTGAAATGTTCTTTTAAAAAAGCACCGGAAATTCTGCTTTTGGGACTTAAAATGGAAGAAGTCAATACGACTAAAAAGACTTTACTCTGGTACCTGATAGTGACAGCGAGAATGATTTATGCTCAGTTTTGGAAGACAGAAAAGGTACCAGAGGTTGAAGAATGGATACAAAAAGTTCTGTTCATGGCACAAATGGATAAGATTACAAAAAAACTGAATAACAAAGAAGACGATGAGTTTTTTGGAGAATGGAATGATTTTAAAATTTATCTGGAAAAGAACTGGGATGTGAAACAAAACTTAATATGTTTAGATCAATATTAAGTCAAACGATGTTATCTTTAGATCGTAATGATGAAAAACTGATATTGTTGATGATATGAAGTAATTTGGAGCAGGGGTGGAAGCATTGTGGGAAGCCATTGGAGGGAGGGGAGGAACTGGGAATGGGGTAGACAATTGATAGAATGAAATGTTTTATATGTTGTATTCCTGAGAAAATAAAATTTGTTTACCAAAAAAAAAAAAAAGGCAGTGATCCATGGGGGAGGAGAAAAGATTAAGGCCCCTTAAATCTAGGATAGATTGGAGACCTCCATCTTTTTTGGGGGGCAGAAACAATCTAGAGTGGTCTAAATGATAAGCAAACAGAACAATAGTCAACACCCAAGAACCAGATGTTATATGCTGCCAGTTGGGGTGGAAGGGAGCCAATCTGTTCAAAAAGAAAGGCTGAGCACCCAGCACATGGACCTCTTGTCAGAAAGGGGCCCTTTGGCCCATCGATGCATCCTTGGAGGACTGATGCTGCTGCTGCTGTCCTTGATACCCAGACCTATGGTGGGACTGAGTTGCTGCTATGTCTGAGTTGCTACTGAGGACACTGGAAAATTCTCCGTTGAGGATCCTGTGTATGGTGGTATGGGCACAAAAACTGGTAATAGTTGTATGGCCTTATAAAGGTTCTCTGGAAGGACTGTGCCGGAGGTACAGCGATGCTGAAAGAACGAGCTGTTTGTTTATTTTTCTCAATTTGCGAGTGGATATCATCCGTCTTCACCAAGAAGAGGGTAGTACCTTCAAAGGGCAGGTCCTCTATCTTTTGACAAGTTTCCACTGGTAAGGTAGTGGAACGAAGCCATGCATGTCTGTGAAGCACCACAGCTGAAGCCATAGTCCGGGCAGAGGAGTCTGCTGTGTGTCTCCCAGTTTGATCTGTTGTTTGGACAGATGAAGGGCTTCTGCTTGAAGAAGCTTGGCAAGTGACTTTTTGTCATCTGGCAAAATGTAGATATAGGCTGGCATTCTTTCCCATGAGAAGAGTTGGTAGCCACCCACTTTGGCTGCACAGCTGGCGATTCTAACATGAAGAGCTGAAGAAGAATATGCCTTTCTACCAATAACATCAATTTTACGCCCTTCCCTATCAGCAGGGGAAGAGTGTACACCTGGTCAATGGTAAGCCTGCATTTCCTCTGCAATGAGGGATGATGGAGCTGGGTACGTGAAAAGGAAGGGACAACCCTCCTGTTGTACTCCTGTTGTAAACGTTTTTGACCCTCTTCGAAGTATCAGGGACAGTAGATGGTTTTTCCCATATGGTGTTGGAAATGTCCAACATGGGGAAGGCAATCGCTCCCAGTGAGTTGGAGTAGAGCCTCCCCCACATTTTGTCTTTCATTCTCAGAACTGATGCAGTGACTTGGATTTCTGAAGTCTTAGGTATTCTGATCATCTGTTCTGTGTATAGTCCTCATTAGGTGAGACCAGGTCCACAGGCCCCACTGTGTCATCTCATGAGGGATCAGAGGGTGGACCGGGGCTCTATTCTGTTGGGAATACAGCACTCTCCTCGTCTGATTCAGAGAACATAGGGAGTTCCTTCTCCATAGGAAGCAGGGTTATTGCCCAGGCAGAAGCGGGAGGGTAAGGACGGCACTCCTGAAAATTCCATTTGGTTCCAGTGGACACAGGTTGATTACCTTGTTTGTTTGAAAAGAGGGAAGGATAATAAAAAGGATACTGCTGCCAAGGTTGAAAAGGGGCCACAGAGGACCACGGAATTGGCTGGGTGGGCTGTGATGCCAGAATCGGATCCCATTGGGTCTGAGGAATCAGCTTGGAGGAAGGTTCTATCTCATTTTCTGGGCATGGTGGAGCTGGGTAATGCAAATGTGGAGATGGGATTCTTGGAGGTGGGAGATCCAGAACCAATAATGGAATCAAAGCGGGAACCGGTGTTGGAACCGATGACATCAGAACCGGTGGAGAGGCCCAAACTGGAGAGTGGTGAGGAACCAAGTGATGCTTGTCTCGGTGCCTATCTTTATGCTTGGACTTTGCCCTAGCCTTCTTAGGGGGCAGCTCAAAAGCAGAGCAAGATTGCCTAGGTGATACTGAATGGCACCTAGTAGGGGCTGAGGACAGACTGGATGGGACCGAAATGACTGACTGCAGGCAAGAAGGAAGATCAGTCAAGGCCAGAGACTTACTATCAGTGGTATGCTGTCACTCTTCCGAAGACTTTGTAGCCAAGCTCTCAGGACATAAAAGAGCTTTCCCCCAAAGGCTAGCTTTGATTCTCACTGCTCTATCAGATCTCACATTGGGAGTAAACTGCAAGCAAAACTCACAGTTCATCATATTGTGCCCTTTGCTAAGGCAAAGGAAGCATACAGAATGCCCTTCAGAGAGGGTCATCTTAGTCTCACACTGGGAACACATATTCAGTAAAGCCTTCTGAGATATGGTTGACGGAAAAAATGAAGAGAAGCTGGTAAGGATATCCTTGCTGAAAGGTGGCAAAAAGAGAACTGAGGGAAGGGGGGGGGCTCCCAGGAACACATGGCTGTTTTGGCAGGAAAACATGCCTCCAGCTCCAGGAAGGGACCTCCCATTCAGCTTTTGTCAGAGAAAGGTAGAAGCTGGATAGGAATCCTCCGGTGGTTGGCCTGCACAAGCGCAGTCCAATGTGGGACTGCACAGGAGACCGAAGATGAATAGGGGGTTTCACCCTCAGGGGAGTATAATCCCAGGAGTCCGGGACTCTTTTTTTGCTAGACAGAGAGTAATTCCTCCCACTATCCTGAGAGAGGGCTGGTTCTCATTCCCACTTTGTTGCTTATTTGTTTATGATTGGAGTGCGGACGGAATTTGTTGGCTACTAAGGCATGGATTCACACCATTAAATTTTGGTTACGACTCCACTTCAACTCTGACCCCCTTAGTTACATGTACCAACTACTTTCTGAATCTGTCAATTCTAGTAGGCTAAATTACATCGAAGCCAAAATATGTTCCTTGAATTTATCCTTAGAATCCTTATTTTTGCTTTCTGAGGCTTAAAAAATAAGGTATTGGGTTTATTGGGTTCAGAATTGCAAATTGGGTTAAAAAGGGTTAAAATTGAAAGTGTTAAAAGTTAATGTTAAATAGGTTACAGCTCAACCTTAAAACAGCTTAATGTATTCATCCTATCTAATCCTAACTAATTATACGTTTCAATAAAAAAAAACCCTCAGACAATGCAATTGCTCTTCTCAAGCATTCTCAAAGCAGCAGCTGGGAAGAAAAAGGGAAGTGAGGGAGTTAAACTCCCTAAGCATAACATGCATTCCTAAAATACAACATAAGATAATTATACAGCTGACAAGAACGTATAAGTCCTATCTAACAAAAATAATAGAGAAGAGAATATGTATATAAAGAGGAAAGAAAATAAAAAAATAAGCTCTCGTGAAATGCCACCGTAGCACTTTTCGGCAGCTACTGGAACCGGAACAGAGGAAATCTAACCTGCTGATTTATCAATGCATTGATTTCTTCTTGTTGCCTTCTTAATATAGCCTGCTTCTTTGTATGAAGAGCAGCCCGCCTCTCTGCTTGAAGCTTTCTCTCATATTCTTCAGTTGTATCCTATACTCAAGGTAGTGAAATAGTTTTGAAACAGATGCTATTTACTTGCCATATTCTTGGGAGAACTCTCAGCCCCAGTAAGAGCATCCAGCAGCAGCTGTGTTCCTTCTCTTTGAGTCTCCCTACCCTTCAACCAGCTCCATACTATATATAGAAAGTAATGAATAAATGTGGACCCTGCATGGTTTTATAATCCATTTCTGGATTCAAAGAGCAGGTGGGTGGCGAGATCAGACAGCCCTGCCATTCAAATACTGGGATTCACTTCTGTAAATTACATCCCCAGTTCATTCTGTATTTCCTCTACATGTGAATAGAAAGATGGGGAATTAACCACTGCACAAATTCTACCCAGTACCTATCCATTACATTTTCCCCACCGCTGCCTGTAAGCAGCTCAATGAGGCATACATAGTTCTCCTCTGCTCCATTTATCCCCACAGCAATCCTATGAGATTGCTTACACTGAGAGAGTGTGCCTGGCTCAAAGTCAGCCAATGAACTTCATGGATGAGTAGAGATTTGAATGTGAGACAAACAAATCTAATTCCAAAGCTCAGACCATACTGGCTTTATTGTCCTAAAGAAGCAGCAGTCTCAAATCAACAGAAGCCTTAACAAAACTTAAAAACAGAAACTCAAATTGTTCTGTTTTTATCTGCTGAAATTCAAAACTCCCTCCTTTATTGGCCAATTCACAGCCACCCTTCAGATTGGGCAACCTGGTTTCACATCTTCCTCGCACCTGGTGAGCCAGTTTGGTGTAGTGGTTAAGTGCGCGGACTCTAATCTGGGAGAACCGGGTTTGATTCCCCACTCCTCCACTTGCACCTGCTGATGTGACCTTGGGTCAGTCACAAGCTCTGGCACAGCTGTCCTTGAAAAAGAGCAGTTTCTGTAAAGAGCTCTCTCAGCTCCACCTACCTCACAGGGTGTCTGTTGTGGGGAGGGGAAGGGAAAGGAGTTTGTAAGCCGCTCTGAGACTCCTTTGGGTACTGAAGGGCGGGGTATAAATCCAATCTCCTCCTCCTCCTCCTCCTCCTCCTCCTCTTCTTCCTCTTCCTCTTCCTCTTCCTCTTCCTCTTCTTCTTCTTCTTCTTCTTCTTCTTCTTCTTCTTCTTCTTCTTCTTCTTCTTCTTCTTCTTCCGGAAAGTACAAACTAACAATCCAAATGGCCAAACTGATTCTCGGTCTCAGTAGCCCAGTTAGTGACTAAGCTAGGCTAAAGCTCCAGGGACAATATCAGAACAGCATGGTTGGTCACGATGTCATATTTGAAAGTAGCAGCAAAAAATGACAGTATGAGTATATTCCAAGAAGAGCCTCATGCGTCTTCTCTTTTGGTAGTAATCTCAGTCAGGTTTGCCGCACAGGAACAAAGACAAGGGCAACTCTTTCAAACAAGGGAAGCTCAGCAAACCTAGGAAATATATTCATTTAGATATTTTTACCTTGCCAGTGGAAGGGCACAGCAGCTTACAGCATTGTTCTTCCCACCTCCATTTTTATTCTCACAACAACCACCCTGTGAAGTAGGTTAGGCTGAGATTCAGTGACTGGCCCAAGGTCACCCAGTGAGCTGATCACAGTATGAGTGGGGATTTGAACCTGGCCCTCCCAGATGCTAGTCCATCTACACCACCATACTGGCTCTTCTTCCTCCAACAAAGAGAACATTAATGTAGCACGTTAACTAAAATTTACTCTGTTCCCATCAACGTTTCCGTTTTGCTCTTATAATAGCAGAATTCTAATCACTCTCTCCCTCCCTCTCTCTCTCTCTCTCATGGTTTTTTGCACATCAAAAGTCAGTTATCAAATAATGTGTACTACCATCAGAAAAAGGCAACTTACCTGAATATCCATAATGACAACTGCAATAAACATATTGAAAAATACAAAAAATCCTAGGAGAATAAAGACTATTGTGAATGCCCGGCTTGAGGTGAGACCCCTGTCATCCAGTTCATCCTGCAAGTCTGTCCAGCCATCAACCTGAAAGTTCATCAGATCAGATCATTTATTTATTTATTTATTTATTGGATTTCTACCCCGCCCTCCCACCGAAGCGGCTCAGGGCGGCTCACAAACAGTTTAAAAACAACACACAGTTTAAAACCGGCTCATCTAAGATCTAAAGACTCTATCAATCCAAAAGCACATGAATCAGATTCTTAATACAATCCAGTTTCCCCCATAAATACTTTCAGTTATTCCGATGCCTCCTGATTTAAAACAACTGCTATTACTAATTATAATTAGCAGTTACTAATCACTAATGTTACTAGTACACACTATTTCCCTTGCTCCATTTCATTTATTTTCATTTTTTGGTTTTTGGTCTTCTTTACGCTTTTCTTTTGCTGTTCCTTGTGCATTTTCTGTATATCACACTCTCTTATGCAAAGATCAGAACAGAAAGATTAAGAGACAATTGACAAAATAAGATAGAACATTGTTGCTTGCAAAGTCTGTCCACACATTGTGAGGAACATTGCGAGAAAGTTAGAATTTCATTAGTGAAGTACTGATTTTATTGGTACAAAATCTTGATGTGTACTCCTAACTGGAGACAGAAATGGGATCCTAATAAAAAGTCCGGGGGGGGGGGGACACAGATATATATCTAATTTCCAGTGACATATTCTGAAAAGGTTCCCTCCAAGTTAATTTCACCATTACATAGCTTAAATATCCATCTTTCTCATTCTAAGTCAGGAATTTTGGTTGGCACATTTTGTATGAGAGAATTGACTGAGAACAGAAAGGCTTTCAAAAATTACCGTAACTAAACTGAAAAGAGTGAAAAAGGCAGATGGCAGGTCCCCCCAGTTCTGCATGTCTCCAGTTTCAGGATCTCCATACAAATCATGACCCAGGATTGCAAAGATAAACATTAACAGGAACAACAAGACAAGGACGTAGATCACATTCCTCACAGTCTGACCCAGGGCTGTCATCAGAACCTGGAGTATAAAAAAATGCAAGTAAACACAATTACATTTTAAAACAAATGGCGCGGGACGTAGAACTGGTTAAGTCTTGCACCTTCTCAAGCAGAGAGCTATCAGATGCCAATGGTAGACCATGCTTAACTACAGAGGGATACAAACTAGCAGGCCTTAAGATCTGCCTTTCGGAACTGAAGCCGGGGAACAAAATAAAAATGCTTATCATACATTAATTGTGTCCATCTGTAGTTAACTGTAGCTTTTCCCTGACCTTTTCTCAGACACTGATCCTATGTGTTTAGCAGCAAGAAGTTGCCACATACACACATAGGCATTATTTCTGACACCAGACTCAATATTGTACTCAAAGACGGCTTCCCAGGTACAAAATGCAATATAGGAATCAATAAGGAAATTCAAGTGTATCTGGAATTACTGATATGTGTCCTTACACAAGACATGGAAACTGACACGGTGGTGATATCCTTGATGTACCAAACAAAACAAATCTCTCGGCAATGCAGGAGATACAGATGAACATATGATCCTGGCTTTGCACAAACCCATTAACCAGGAAGTGACACCTGAACAGACCAACAAATGGATTTTGGATTTGAAGTATGAGATGGTGTTGGCAGACACAGATGCTGATCTTAAAAGAAACAGCAGATTGTATAAGAAACCCTTTGGCATTTGTAGGCTTTCTGTAGTCAAAAAAGGGCAGCCAGCCCATTCTTTAGCCAGTCTCTGGAGTATTGTAACACTCAAGCAGTGCAGAGTCTTCTGTAGTTTAGAGTTAATAGAAATGTTTGTGATCTTGGCCAAGATCCATGACCAACAGTCTGACTCAAGCGGTATTCCCTAATCGGTATTCCCATCCATTCCTATGAGGATCTAGGGTACATTCTGATGTAATTTGTAGTACTTTATAAGAGTTAGTTTTGTTTAGAGTTCTTACCCAATGACCCTGTGCATCGCAGTGCTTTCTCTAGGGGCACATTAAGCAGGAGTTACTGTAGTGCCAAAAACCAACAAGACCACATCTGCTTCACAGTAAACACTACTGATGCATTCTGTAGCTTTGTCATGGAATTAAGGATCCCTGAGAAGGAAATTTCTTCTTTTTCTATTACGACAACCAGCTTCAACAGGGCTTTCCTGCTCTCCCTTCCTCCACCAGGCCCTGTTTCTACTAAAGAGCCACTCCAAAAGGTCAGGGGACCCTCCAGAGAGGTTTGTGATGCAGCATGAGAGAGGGGAGCTGTGAGATATGAGATGGTGGAAACTGGAAACCCACCTTGAAAAGCACTTTCCACTTGTACTAGGTGTCTTTGGATCCAAGCCACTATAAAATACTAGCTATCACCATTCAATAGATTATTTGCTGCTGCTGCTGCAAAGTGCCATCAAGTCAAGCCAACCTATGGCAACCCCATAGAGTTTTCAAGGCAAGACGTGTTCAGAGGTGGTTTGCCACTGCCTGCCTCTACGTTGGACTTCCTTTGCGGTCTGGTCTCCCATCCCAATACTACTCAGGGCTGACCCCGCTTAGTTTCCAAGATCTGATGAGATCAGACCAGCCTGGGCCACCCAGGTCAGGGCAATAGATTTTTAGGGGGGGGGGCTTCTATGCCATTCCAGCAGCATAAGGGAGCCACTGTGCCACACTGTCTTTTCATACTGTTTCAATAATGAAAATAAGAACTACATATGTGGGTCAGTTGTTTACTTCCTCCCCTGGTTGGAAAGAAGATCTTTCAGATAGCTTCTACTGAGATTTCAACAGCACCACAAAATCTATTCTACTAGAAGTTGGTAAAGGTTCTGGATATGACCCAACAAAACATACAGAACTTTGGCTGAATATTTCAACAGATATTTAAATTCAACTTCTTTATGCAGCACCATCAGTATGGATGTTTTTCAGAACATCTTTAAAGAAAACAGACTCCGTCCCATGCTGAACAGGGAGATCAAAGCTAAGTAGGAGAAGAATATATATTCGGTTCAACTGCATATCTTTAAGCTTTGTTTGGTGGGGAACAAGAACTAAAGTGTTATGCCAGCGGTTTCACAAAAAAGGTGGATTTTGAAAAGAGGCCTCAAAGAAGAAGGGGAAAAAATATACATCAGGGCTATTTTTGGGCAGGAACGCACAGGAACGGAGTTCCGGCTAGCTCCTGAGTTGGCCACGCCCAGCAGGAGCTCATTAGCATAACAGGCCACACCCAACAGCAGAAACTCATTAGGATTGGCTACATTAGGGGTGTGTGGCCTAACATGCAAAGGAGTTCCTGCTACAAAAAAAAGCCCTGGGTTTTGACAACAAACAAGGTAAACAGAATAAGAAGTAAAAGGTGGGTGTGGCTGAATGACCACACTTCTGGTAACATGGGGGTGTGGCCTAATATGCTAATGAGCGGTGCTGTCAGGGGTGTGGCCTAATATGCTAATGAGTTTCTGCTGTTGGGTGTGGCCTATTATGCTAATGAGTTCCTGCTGGGCTTTTTCTACAAAAAGAGCCCTGATGGTACTGATGTTCAGAAAGGCATTTCTAATAATAAGGGGCCACCAGAGGTCGATTCGGGGGGGATCGCGGGGAATCGCCATTCCCCCGGGTGAGGTGCGGGGGGTGGGGCACACAACGAAGCCCCGCCCCCTGCTTCCGTCCGCCCCGCTTCAGGCCCTCATTCAGTGAGGAGGACGCAGGAGAAGAGGGAGGGTAAGTTGCTTCCTCCCCGCCTCTCCCCACCCCTGCCTG